CTTGCCCTGCTTTTATATGGACTTATTCATTTTTGATAATCTAATTCCCATTTGGCAATAGGTATTGTACCTTAATGTGTTATACCCCCAGGAAAAGACTTGTATCTAAACAGGATTCTCCAAGGAGAGACAGTGCTTTAAATACAGTATGTTGGGTAATGGTGGTGATTTTGGCATGTGGCCTGACTGATGAGTCTTTTTCCACTGAAGCACCATCTTGATCACCACGGAACTCTTAAAATCTTAACCTTAGTTGAGTTTTTAACTATAATCTGTTGGAGATCAAGGATTATTTAGTGCCTTGATAATTGAGTTGGCTTATGCCTTTTATGTGGTGTTGGAGAAGACTCTTAAGAATCCTTGTACTGCAAGCAGATTCAACCAGTCCATCCTAAAGGAACTCAGTCCTGAATATTCATTGGAAGGACTGATGCTGAAGCTGAAACCCCAATACTTTGGCCACCTGATGTAAAGAACCGACTCACTGGAAAAGACCATGATGCTGGGAAAGATTGCAGGCAGGAGGAGAAGGGGACAACAGAGGATGGGATGGTTGGATGTCATCACTGACACGATGGACATGAGTTTGAGTAGGCTCCAGGAGTTGGTGATGGACAAGGAAGCCTGGCGTGCTGCAGTCCATGGGGTCACAGAGTCAGACATGACTAAGCAACTGAACTGACTGATGCCTTTTAAAGTATTAAAAAGAAAATGTTGGATGATGCCTTTTAAAGGAATAAAGAGAGAATTATTGCTTCTTACCTTTAAGGACCAGCTTGCTCAGAAACTTTACATCAGTAATATAGATCCAGACCTCAGCAAGTCCTTGGAGTGCTGTCTGACCTGAAAGGTACCTGCAATCTGAGTCAGAGTTCTCCTGGAGGCTGAATTAGTATGGGACTCTCTTGAGGGTTCATGATTAATCTTGCTATGTTCATTTATTCCATAAATATATTTTGTTTTAGGCACTACATTAGCTTCTTGAGTATTTTTCACTATGGTCAGCCTATAAAAGACTATAGTTGTCCCATAACAGGATAAATAAAATCTGTAGGTTAAATTATTAGAATTTAAGTTCTTACAAAGATCAGCAGTGTTCTACATACCAATATATGTAATTGGAAATAATATTTTAAAAGATGATTGTAATGAGTTCCTGATTTTGAGTCAACTTCCAGTTAATGCATTCTGTGATGCCCCTTCCCTTCTTTTAGCCTAGAGCTTATATGTTTTCATACTACATGAGACAGCCTGGCCTCAGTAACCTACTTGACAAGTATTTACTTCAGACTAGTAAATGTTTTCCACTTTTGCAGATATGCACAAACTGTAACATCATGCCTGCTCTTAAAGGACCTAAAACTTAGTTAGAAATAATTTTGAAATGGAATTAGACAGTATATCACATGATATCAAATTACTTGTAGTCAAGACCCTGTCTTAGCCCTGTCTTCTTCTACTCCATTATAAATAACAGATAAAAAGACACAAGGCATGCTTGTTAACTCCCTGGGAGACACCAATCTGGGTGTGAGAATGAAGGCTAATATACGGAACGATAGAAATAGCAATGTCAGTAAACAAGAACTTTGTGCTGAAACCAACAAGTTGAATAGGAATAAACAGAAAGTTCTGTACTTAGTTTGAAAAAAATGGAAGAGAGCTGTGATTTTCACATTCAAAAATAATCCTGTGGACTTTTTCTTTATCCCAAACCTTCACTCAATATCCTAAAATACTTGCCAAGCACCAGGCACTCGGTAGCCACTGCGGGATCTTTCCACCCAGCACACCTGCAGAAGCAGACTCTTTGGCTTATAACATGCAGCTAGAGAGGGAAATATTCCCACTGACTTGATCTCATCAGGAGTAGACACAACACTCTAAGAAGGTCATACTTGATAAAACAGCCTATAGAATGCGGAGGCTAGACTGGGGAGTGACAGGGAAACCAGGCTGCATAGAAATATTGAGTGACCACAGGATGTTTAGTCTAGAGAAGAAAAGATTATGGGACTTTGATGGTTATTTTCCAACACTTAGAGAGCTATTGTGTGACTCTTAAGAGGAACCTTAAGGCTTTTAGGGTTATTTCAGTTTAACCAATGGGGCGGGTGAGTTAAAGAGGAGCAGACTCATTCTGACGTCTTCAAAAGTTTTCCTGTCAACCTTGGCAAAGGCTAACTATCCCCCGGCAGAAACTAGCTGACCATCTACCATGTAGACCTCTCCCTCCTGGAAAGGCAACATTTTGTTGGCAGTTGGAATGCATCACCTCTGAGGATCCCTCAGATGCCGAATCTTTCCCTTTTATTTTTCAAAACAAGTGAGAAGTAACCTCACTTTTCATAGACCTGCCTTAAGCCTTGATATCCACAAGAGTTTTGCTAGTCTGCAACTAATGAGTTTGTTTCCACATCTTGTCCACCTTCACTGGCAGAAACATCATTTGACTTAGTTAACAGAATGTCATAGTAAGTATACTCCAAGCATTAGAATTACACTGCTGACCTTTCTGGGGTAAGATGGTGATTAAACCTAGACTGAACCTTCATTCATTCAACAATTGGACATGTAAATACCAATGTTCACTGGAACATATAAGAAGGGGGAAATCTTGTCTCAAAGTGAAGTAAATGGTGAGAGGAAATTCACAGACCAGAGTCCAGGAGACTGAGCACTTGTAAGGCTCCATAGACTGTCTGCAGCTTAAGGAGGGAGCCTAATGAGCTGTGCAGATGCCAAAGGAAGGGAGGTACCTCTCGGCTCCCTGGAGCGGCCTCAATATTTCCTATGGCTGGCTCTCCCAAGCCTCACAGTCAAAGCCAGCATCTTCCGGACACCTGCTCTTTTTAGGTGTGCCCAGATGTCATCATCCAGCTGAGAAAAGTCATCACCTCAGCTAGCCACTCCTGTTGTCGACTTAGGATCAAGAAACACTTTGACCAGAGAGCTGCCTTTAGTACAACAAAATGTGCAGTTTTCTATGGAAAAGGAATGATGATATATTTCTGCCAATGAGTTGCAGTCGCCAAAAAAGCCATGTATTTGCCTCTCTATTACCAAGTACATCATTTGGGCATCCCATCGAAAAAGTAAGAGAGTTCCAGAAAAACATCTATTTCTGCTTTATTGACTATGCCAAAGCCTTTGACTGTGTGGACCAGAGAGCTGCCTTTAGTACAACAAAATGTGCAGTTTTCTATGGAAAAGGAATGATGATATATTTCTGCCAATGAGTTGCAGTCGCCAAAAAAGTCATGTATTTGCCTCTCTATTACCAAGTACATCATTTGGGCATCCCATCGAAAAAGTAAGAGAGTTCCAGAAAAACATCTATTTCTGCTTTATTGACTATGCCAAAGCCTTTGACTGTGNGGTTTGGGTGGACTATGGGAGTTGGTGATGGACAGGGAGGCCTGGCATGCTGCGGTTCATGGAGTCAAAAAGAGTCAGACACGACTGAGCGACTGAACTGAACTGAACTGATTGACCTGTTTAGTGTAGTTGAAGGATGAAGTGTTTCTAACTTAACACTACTGTTTAAGAGGGTGAAATCTTACTGCTTTAATACCTTGTAAGCTTATATTTATAGAAGTAGGCAAGTAAACCTAGATATAAGCCCAATTTTAGTTATTACCATTAACTAGAAGTTACATTATAGTGAGGCAATATATCTCATTTTTAAAGTTGAAGTGCTGAAAGTCCTAAAATCAATTATTTTGAATGGTAACAACAGCCACTAGGAAGAACTAGTAAGTTTAAAATTGGTTGTAGTATTGGTTATAGAGTTATGAAGACTTTATAAGACTTCACATAGTTACTAATAGGGATGCAGTTACTCAGTGAGCAGGAAAAAGAACATTTATACAACTATAGTAGCTTTGCTAGGTAAAGGAACCATTATCAAAAAAAATTTAATATACCTCCTGTATGTATAAATGTATAAGGAGCAGTGTTATTACTTCTTATGAAGTTAGGTGAAGTGAAGTGAAGTGAAGTGAAGTCGCTCAGTCATGTCCGACTCTTTGCGACCCCATGGACTGTAGCCTACCAGGATCCTCAGTCCATGGGATTTTCCAGGCACGAATACTGGAGTGGGTTGCCATTTCCTTCTCCAGGGGATCTTCCCGACCCAGGGATCAAACCCAGGTCTCCTGCATTTTAGGCAGACGCTTTACCGTCTGAGCATGAAGTTAGGTACCTTCCACTAATCTAAAACATATGGTACACAGAATAACTAGTGATGATAATGACATTAACTAAGGGGGAAAAGCAAGAACCAATTCTCTTTTTCCAACTCATTTAAGGATCTCCTGCTACTGTGTTTAAATACCCAGCACACCACACCCAAAATTGTTTCCCCATAACATACTCAAATAAACCATTGCAAGGTAGTTCTTTTAACTTGTAGAAAGAGCAACATTTTACAGTTGAGTTTTGTTTAGTAAACCTGTATCAATCAAATCCAAGTGCATAAATCCGTATAACATAAGAAAAATGATAAGGCACCCTAGAAGTAATACTAACACTCCAAATAGAAGTGAATTTATTTAACCCTAGCAATAATCCTGTGAGAATAATCCCGTTATTCTCCTACTTTAATAGCAGATAAAACTGAGACAAAAGCATTTTAAGGAACTTGCCCAAGATCAATTTGCCCTCGCTAAGACTAGGCATCGGAGGGATCTGGACTCAGACAGTCTGGTTCCAAAGTTCAAGTACTTAACCATAAGGCTGTACTGCCTCCCCAGTAATGACGTTGGTTAAATTAAGCAAATGCCTACTGTGTAGCAGACACTGTGTTAATCCCTTCATATATATTAGCATATTAAAATCATCTTTCAGGTCATCTGGACATAGGAAAGAGGGACAACAAAAGGATTACCATGTCAACTGTTCTGTGTGTCTTTGGCACAGCACTTTCACTTGAGTGTGGTCTCTGCATTACTTGAGATGGTGGGATGTTAGCAATAAGCTATATTATCTCTTCCTTGCAGGGGTGGAATGGTCCAAACCAGTGAGCAGTATGAATTTGTGCATCACGCTCTGTGCCTGTACGAGAGCAGACTTTCAGCAGAAACTGTCCAGTGATGCTCTGAAGACTTACCAGACCTTTGATCTCTAGGGGTGATTAGCTGATTACCCACTCAAGGCTTCTGGAAGGAGCTTCCCACAGTGGAAGGGAAGAGAAGCCATGAAGCCAAGTCAGGGCATGGATTGTGGAAGATGGCAACATATTCAAGTCCTCCAGCCTCTTGTGTATATGAATGCACTTGTAAGCATCCTTTAAATTATTTTGAAGGTCCTCTGCTGATGGAGGTATGGTCGATTTCTCACACCGCTAAGGAGGAATTTGTTTTGTCTGTATTGACTATCTGCCACACAGAATATATGTATGAAATATATGTCATCAGATGATACCTTGAAGAGCTGCTGAAGAAATTATTATTGTGTGTTTAGATGCTTTCATGTTTGCAAAATCTGTCTTGTGAATGGACTGTCAGTTGTTAAACTGTTCCTGTTTTAAGTGCTAATTCCTTCTCAGTTACCAGAATCTTGCTGCTAAAGTTGCAAGTGATTGATGATGGATTTTTAACAAATAAGTCTGTGTTTTTGAAAAAAAAAAAAAATCAAAAGCAGTAACTATTTTATATGGAAATGTGTCTTGAAAATATTACCTATTAAGTGTGTATTTATCAGTACCTCCTATCAAGCAATTACAGAGCACAATGATTGTCATTGGGTATATATGTATTTACTCTCTACTATTGAGCATAGAGGTGATTTCTGCTCCAGAATTCTATCCACTGTATTTCTACATTGTGAGTCATTTTACTTTGAAAGGGAAAAACAAATTTGTAGCAACTATGATGTATTAAGAATTTTAAATATTTGTCTCTCTTTTACTAAGAAAGAATTTTTGAATATAATGTCTACCTGAAATCTCTCTCCCAGTAAAAGGCAGATGGCTTTGAAATTGATGTAGCCTGTCCCATTTCCAGTGGTTCTTTCAAAGGATGCTGCCATGGATATCCTTAAATCGCTGAAACGATTTAATCCTCAAGAGACAAAGTTAAAAAGAAAATCTACACTCAGCAAACACTAGATGTTCTGCTCACATATGAATTTTTAATGCAACTATGTTGACTTTGTTTCCTACTGCCAATAAACTACTCTTAATACTAAACGTTGAGTAAGGCATGTACTTTTTTTTCCTTATTTGGAGAGAGACCACTATCTTTTAGGGAAAGCCTGAAGTCAACAGTGTGATGGGTGTAAGTTTAGTCTGCCTCTCCCCAGTAGAGATGACGATTTCAAAATGTAGTATTGTCATCACTTGAGTGATAATGATCTAGAAGTGCCATCATTATGTGGTTTTCCTCGATAGACTTCCAGCTATCATTATACACACAGTACCTGTTTATGTCTTCATATCACTTGTCATAGGCCTTCATAAATTACATGGTTGGTGTTTGTTCGGCAGAATCACATCACCTGAAGAGATGTAATGCTGTAGGAACATTGAATTACCTAAGATTACAATTCTTTTCCCTCTTGAGCTTAGTCGTGTGGCAAAGGGATGGTAGAAGAAAACTTACACATTTTATTCTGCTCCTGGGGGCTGGAATTTTTTCGACATTAAAAAAAAAAAGACAAAAGTAATCATAATCCCTTCTTTCTAAGGAAACAGACAAAAGGACAACTGGTGTAAAACTTCCCCCAAACAATTCAATAGGAGGAAGTGCTCGTCACTGACTTTTCCCCCCACCATGAAGGCACATTTCCTTCCTAGTCTTTGCTTCTCTTATCTGGGAGAATTTTTTTTTCCCCCAAGCAAAGCATGAACAGTCGTTAAGTGGAAAATGGAGGCTGAATTTTACATGGCGATTCTTACCTGCTTCATCTTCGTCAACTCAGGTGAGTGGATCTGTCTCAAGTTCCCTGAGGCATTTCTTCAATAGCCAGCAGAGGAGTCTCTGTCCTTTGAAAAGTCTGTGAAACAAAGCGGAAATGGAGCCAGGTCTCCATGGCAGTTTAGCCAGAGACGATGAGGAGGGGGAATAAAAGGAGCCTGTGATGCCCATATTTTGTTGAGATTTCTCCCCCAAAAAAATAAATGGCCTCCTCTGGTGTCCTCCAAATGCCTCAGGCAGCTCCTGAAATGGCATCTGAATGGCAGAGACTAAAGCAGCCCCAAGGTGGGGAAAACGTATTATTATGTAACTGTCTGTGGCATCTTTCTGCTTTTTCTCTGTCAAGTTATAGTTTGGTTTCCTTTGTGTTAAAGAAAGAAAATATAAGAAATATAATTAAAGGGAGTTGAGGAACTGTGGTGGGTTTTATTTGGAAGTTGTTATTTGGAACACCTGAATATTTTAATGAAATAACTGAGAAAATTAAGTAAAAGCACCTTGAAGATGGTTTTTGAGCCTGAATATTTCACTTTTTAATCTGATGTTTAACAATTGGGTATTCAGTTTTCTTTTATTAGCATTTGAGGGAAGACTGTAGATACTGTCACAAAATATAAAAATACTTCTCTATAGTACTATAAAAATTCAATTTGTGATAATCAATACTTTTATTAGTTACTATTAGCTAGGAGAATGTGCTTAGAAGAATGGAAAATTTTGTTTTATTTTGGGATAAATATATCTAATTTTCAAAAATTGTATTCAAACTCATCCATTTGTATACAAACACTTATAGCAGTGGTAACTTAAGAATTGGAAAATGGAGTGTTTCTTTAGAGTGGAGAATGGAGGTGAGGTGGAAGGAGTGAAATGGTTAAAATGGGAATTGGATTTTATATGACTTTAGCATATTAAATATTTGGGCTAAAATAGCTCACCGTATTCTTTGGATGGTTTAGTTTCTTTTCCAAGCTTCCTTTCATTATTTCAGTGGGGGTGTATTTTCTTCCCTAACCCATGTGAAAGGAAAAGAAAAGAAGCTAAGTGTGACATTTTTGCATTGTCTGTTTTGGGATTTTTAAATCACATGTGTTGAATCTGGAACTGTTCACTTTAAATGATGGCAATTGCAGAAGATAAGTAAACCTTGTATTTTGACCAGGCTGATTTATGGGTGGGTTGCTTTGTTCTCTGGTGGGCTTTCTGGTTTGTTGCATAGCCCTTGATGAGCTTCTCATCTTCCAGAGGGGTTTCAGATTGTCCATGTCCAGAAACAACAGTGTCTTTTCAAAAATGAGAGAGTGGTCATGGACGTGTGCAATAGGACAAACCAGAACCAGCAGTGGATGTGGACTGAGGATGGAAAGCTCCTTCATGTTAAATCTGCTCTGTGCCTGGGCATCTCCAATTCCTCTGGCGGCCCTGGCCGAGCCGCCATCTTTGCCCCCTGCTCCCAAGCTCCTCGATGGACTTGCTATGAGAAGGAAGGGTTCCTTGAGGTGGAAAATGCCTCTCTCTTTCTCAAGAAACAAGGCTTCAGGGTAGTGGTCAAGAAGGGCAGGAAGTACCTCCATAGCTGGATGAAAATAGATGTCAACCAGGAGGGAAAACCAGTCAATGAAAGCCTCTGCTCTAAAAAAGGTGAGTTCTTCCTTTCAGAATTGATTCTGAAAGTTCTGTTAAATATCTTGCTGTTTTGCATTCAAGGGAAGTCCACATGCTCCAACAAAATTCTAATTGAAGATTCATAAGCGAATGGAAATGGATTGTGTGGTACACACCAACTTGGAAAACTTCATTTTCTTCGTTAAAATAAGCCCATCTTTCCTTTTTCTGTCTATCTCTCATGCTTCCTTCCTTTTTTTTTTTCTTGCTTATTTTATTAATTCAACAAATATTTCTTGAGCTTCTCTTTTGTGTCAAACATTAAGCACTTTGGCTAAATACTACTAGATGTGGGAATGTAAATCTGTGTATAGCATACACAGGTAATGACTAAAGGCAATGACAGGGAAATTAATAAGCTTGCTGATGTAGACACTTCTGTTCCCTGATTATGAGGAACTATTATGAGGAACATCAAAATGGTGCTTGATAAGACTGGGAAGATAGTAAGTTATGCTTTTGCAAACCTCTTGTACTAATGTTTAGGGGTAGATTTTTTTGGAGGTAGTATCTTTGAAATGTTAAGAACCAATGTGCAGCCACAGAATTTTCTACTTTGTTGATCATTGATGAATAGAACCTAGATAATGGACATATAAAAACTTGTATACACATGCATAAATTTCTGCTACAACATACAGTTCAGTCCTAGACTAGGAATTTTTATTTGTCAATACAGCTTAATTTTCTGTTTTACTTAATCATCTTATTGCTTATTTACTCCTTTATTAGAGGTTTGCTTTAGGAAGTCATGAAGGATAAAAGAATTGCTACATACTAGCTATAAATATAACTGGAGAATTATCTAGAAATGAAGCCCTTCCTTAAGATTATAATTTGTCAGGGTAAAGTGAATTGCCCCAAATAATTAAATAGCAGAGGTATAGATTAGAACCCAGGTTTATTTTTTTTTAACTTTTTTTTGTATTAGAGTATAACCGATTAACAAATAGCATTGTGATCCTTTCAGCTGAACAGTGAAGGGACTCAGCCATAGATACACATATATCCATTCTCCCCCAAACTCCCCTTCATCCAGACTGCCACATAACTTTGAGCAGAGTTCCATGTGCTATACAGTAGGACTTTGTTGAGAACCCAAGTTTCTTGATTCCTTGTCCAATATATGTTCCATTTTACAGTAGTTTCCACATGCTTATCCATAGGATTCTTGCCCAGTTGGCTACATTCAGAATCACCTGGTGGAGAGGAGGAGTAAAATGAGTCATTGTCATCATTTCTCCCTTTACTGATGCCTCCAAGATTTGATTCCAAGAAATCTATGTTTGGGCATGATACTGGATGCTTTTTAAAAAGTTCTCCAAATAATTTTGATTCATAACCTCATTTCAGGATCAGCATCCACTGTACATTTAAATATTTTTATTAGGTCTTGATTTTTGAGACTTACATGAGTTTTTTCACCACACTGGTCTTTGAACAGTTTTAAGTCACTCATTCACTAAATTAAACATCTAAGTAGGTGCCAATTAAATGGACTCTTCTACAGTACAAGAGTCTCTGTTCTTATAAAAACTTCTGACATGAGAATAAGATAGGAAATATAAAATTTAATTATGAAATTCAACTTTATCAGGGAGAATACATCACATAGCACCATCCATACAGTTCCTTTCCTGTAGTTCATCTAGCTAGGTCTGTCCTAAACAACACAGGAACATTGTGAATATTTTGGTTGTATGGTGTATGGTTATACCCAAGCAGTGAGATTCCTCCCCAACTCCCAATCAAACCTTAGAAGAATATTCTTTCATTAGAACTTTTAAAAAGCACATATGAATTCAATAGATATGGATTATTCAAGATAGAAGATAATTCATGGAAAAGCTATTTCTTTTAACCTTCACACAAAACATGTCTAATGATATACTTCATTTCAAAAGTAAGGTAGATATAATAGACCACTTGCAGTTAACCACTGAACATGCCATATCCAAAATGCCTGATAATGTGTGTTGGGCGAAAAATGGACCTCTAGAAAAAGCAAAGTTAAAATTTGAACAATTCCAATACAAAAAAAGTATCTTATATTTGAATATACATAGGTGCAACATATACTTTTGCCTTCTGTTAGAAACCAACAGACTTTTTTCTTCTCCAACTGTACAAAATTATATTGGTTGACCCATAGCATGAACACTCACTGATTTTCTAGAGAGTTCATTGTGAAATGTTAAATTTCATGTAGATGTTTGTAATGAATGAATTCCAAATGCCTTTTCTTAAGAGTTAATAAATACTACACTTTTAAGTAGCACAAATATGCATGTTGTTCATTCAGAGGATGTATTTTTTTATTAGGCTCATCAGTAAAAGCATACTTGTGAAGGTCAAACCTGGGCTATATATTTCATATTTGTTTCATAGAAGAGACAGTCATAATGCCACTCAAGTATTTAAGTAATGTTTCTCTACTACCTACTAGGTGCCAGAACTTGTGCTAGTAACTGAAGTATCCTACACCAGTGATTCTCAACCCAAGTTTTACATCAAAATACAGTGGGAACGTGAAATAGTATTAATATCCTTGCTTCATCCTCTAGGTCAACTAACTCAAGGATTATATTTTTAAATACTTCCAATATGCAGCCAAACCTGAGAATCACTAAATATGTCTTGCTCCTTAGGATAATGAGAAGGCAAATAAGTAAATAGTTAGTTATAATAGAGTATGAGTAGAAAAAAATATCCCTTCCTCCAATATATATTCTTGCCAATGTGTCACATTAAATGATAGTTTTTTTTGAACTCGATACTTCTTAACTTTTTTTAACATTTCTTTGAATGCCCACTGAATTTTGTCATAATTTAGCTGTGCTTCATTCTCACTAAGATGTCTTTTTTCTTCTTCCTCTCCTTTACTCAAGTCCCTCTATAATAGGATGAATCAAATAGGTTTCCAAAGTGGGTCAAAATTCAATTCAAAAGTTAATAAGGAGGTTTTTCAGGGAAGAACCTGTACTAGGGTCAGATTTCCTCAATTAATCACTGTTACTGCAGTGATTTTTGTTAGGAGAGGAATGTAAAATTGACCTATCTTTTCAGATTTTCATATAATTTATATTTCTTTAAAACCCCTTAAAACAGCCATTTAATGGAACAAATAGAATAGAGTTTGTGAGTTAAAGTCTCTCAGTCATGTCTGACTCTTTGTGACCCCATGGGCTATAGAGTCCATGAAATTCTCTAGGCCAGAAAACTGGAGTGGATATCCGTTCCCTTTGCCAGGGGATCTTCCCAACCCAGGGATTGAACCCAGGTCTCCCACATTGCAGGCGGATTCTTTACCAGCTGAGCCACAAGGGAAGCCCAGAATAGAGTTTAATGGGACCTAATTCATGGGAATCCAATTAAAAAGAATATATAGATTATGTAGAACCAGGATCACCAGGAGCATAGTAGATTACCAAGTTAAAGAAAAGATGGATTTAGATTTTTTACCATTCCCTCTGAATTTTAAGTTTACCCTTAAAGACTATACTACATAAATTCATTTTGGATCCCTCCCCCACAAAAAAAAAAAAATAATAATAATGTATATGGTAGATAAACTCTTACTTAAAAAAAAAACATTAAAGATCAATTTTTAAAATTAGATCCTTATAGCTATTATTCTGAGTAGGGAGTACTAAAAAGCATTGCTTCCAAAATGCCAATATATCTAGCTGAAATGACAAAATTTCCTTTTTCCTATATATTCTTTTGTCAGTCAGTTGCCAGATATCCAGCTATCTGGAAACCATCTTACCTTCAGCAATGTGTCAATAAAACAAGTGATGGACAGATTCAAAATTTTCCTCCATATAGCCACATCTTTGGAGTCACTGTATTGAGTATGGCTTTTAGAAATATTTTGTGTACTGTTTCTCAGTCTCTATAAATTCACACAAGGCAGTCATCAATAAGGCAATAAGGAAAAACTAAATTTTATTCTATCCAACCATATAGCAATTTTATATAATCACACATTTAATTTTTTAAGATTACTATTGCTTTAAGAGTAAAAATGCATTCTGAGGTCCAAATCTCTAATTTACAAACTTTTGAAACCTGGCACTCCTAAGGGCTTCCTGCTAGCAAAAATCTTATAAGCTAAAGGAAAAGTCATATCAGCCTACACTTTGGGGGAGGGGTACTTGTACATTTCTAGGAAAGTTCACTTAAAATTCAGTTAAAAAAATTTTTTTTCTCCATGACTAAGTCATTTGTATATACAAGAAATGCAAAAGAAAAAAAGTTAGAAAGACTCAACTATTATGCTATAAGCCTCTTCAGAGCAGAAATCATAACTTAGAAATCTTTATCTTCCTTAAAGGTAATCTTGGTTCCCATGGTCAACAAGTGCTGGCTAAACGTGTTTCAACTTCGGAAAGGTGTTAAATATCAGAATTACAGTGATTCCCAGTTGGCTGTAGCAACTGGGTAGCGAATTCGCTGGGGTAGCGAATCCAGGAGACAAGGGTTCAATCACTGGGTTGGGAAGATCTCCTGGAGGAGGAAATGGCAACTCACTCCAGTATTCTTGCCTGGAAAATCCCATGGACAGAGGAGGCTGGCGGGCTACAGTCCACAGGGTTGCAAAGAGTTGGACACAACTGAGTGACTGAGCTTGCACATCAGAATAATAGGGAACAATTAAGGAAAGTTACGGATTACTTTTATGCCACTACTGAAGTCCTGATTATTGGTTTTTCTCTTCTTCCCAAATCAAGCAGAATTTTTAAACCCACCAAGCCATTAACAGTTACAGAATCATCCAGTCCAACAGGAAAAGTCTTAGCCCCACAAATAGACAACACAGGTTACGGGGACCGAATTATTGAAGTCTTATGGCCCTACGCAATATGGAAAATAACTCATTCATTGGGCCCCTCTTTTACATGAGAAACAGAGAAATCTTCTCAAAGGATATTACATATTTGCAAGCATACCTAAGCAAATAATCCTTAAGACAGGAAAATAAAAACATTCTAAACTTGAAAAGGGGTTCCACAACATCAGCACCAATCTATTGACAGTAGACCATACTCAAATATTTCTAGGACTTCCAAATGAAGAGTACAAAATTCCATCTGTGGTTTGGATACCTATTCCAAGGAATTCCAAGTCTCCTTACGAGTATAAACACCCAGGATGACTGTCTAAAATTGTTACTTTCACTAAGATGTTTAATATTGTATGAAGAGTAACATTGTATATGTCAGCCAACCAATCAACATTTATTCCACATCTGCTACAGATTCATTCATTCAGATCTCAGTTTTGTCTGAGGACAAGCAAATTTTTCCAGATATATTTTCAAGTGTCCCTGATATGGCTGAGTTAGTAAAATCACTACGAGATCTCACTGCTGAAGTAAATCATATTGTTGGCAGGCTTGTTATACCTGCTGGTTAAAGTAATTGTTTCATTGTAGTCATATGGGTGAGGGAATAAAATGCATAAGCATTGTAATAGGTAAGCAATCATATATGCTCTTGGGAGACTGGGTTTTAGCAGCTATTTCCTCTAGTGATTGGTAGTAGTGCTTGTAAATATAGAGAGCTTGATGGGAAATGAACAAAGCAAAACAGAAAGTGTCTTTGTATACACAGACTCTGACCAAATTGGCTGTCACTGACATTTTAGAGTTTCCCTCCTTGCATCATTATAACAACATGGACTTTGCAATTAACCATTTATTTACATGATCATTGAAAATCATCGGGTCATTGAGTATTAATATATGCTTTCTATGATTACTGAAAAACATCTAACATAGCATCCGGAGTTGCTCAACGATTTTCAGCCTGTGACACATCATTGACTTACCAGGGCACACCCAAGGCTGCATATGACTTTCATGGGCTCTGTGCGCTTATATCTTTGTGAGTTCCTTCCTCCACTGGGAAAAAAATAAAAAACAAAAAAATTATCATGGGTCCTAGCATTCTCATTTGTTCACAACCTGTGAAAAAAAAACTAACATTTTTTTGACCCTGAAAGTTCTTTGTTAAAAATTATTTTCAAAGAAAGTAAATCATTTCATGGACCCTAAAAATCAAGAGCCCTAGACAGTGTTTGTGTTGCGCCTAACAGATGAGCCAGCCTTGGGCACACCAAGCAATTCACCCACTTTCCACATGCTTTTGCCCTAACCCTGTTTAGGCTCTGGCTCAGCATGTCTCCCCCAAAGCCTTATAGCCATGAACTAATAAACCATTCTTCTCCCTGCATCCTTCTACACCACCATTTCATCCTTTTCCAATGTTTGTGTGTGCATTTTCCCAAAAGAAAATGTGGGACATTAGGATATAAAGTTTCCATCTTTGGTACTCTTTTCAAAAATTTTTAACTTCCTAACTCACTTTTTCAAATTTTAGGCATGTGTAATTTTAAATGTATTCTTTATTTCATTGACTGCCTTTTCTTAAATTTTAATTATTCATGTTAACATTTCTAATAATTATTCAGAGTATTATAATGCCCAGACCTTTCACTTTATTCTAGTCAAATCTTATTTAATATATCTTGTATATTAACTTAAATATTTATGTATAAATGTATATGTACAAATCATCATTTTTCTAAGGTATCTTCTGTTTTATTTATCTCTTTTCCAGATTGCTTTCCCACTTTTAAAAGACACATTACATTTGGCATCTTCCTACAGAATAGAAAGTATCAATACAGTTTAAATTTTATATATCCAAAATGAGTTTTATTCAAGTTCTTGCTTTCAATATGCTCGAACATTTTTTTAATCATTTAAAAGAGAGAAACTAACAAATTGTGTATTGTCTCCACTATCATTATACAAAAATTCTATTTCTATTATTGATTATTTCTGAGGCAATCATAGATGAATTAATAAACTAAAATGCATATTGCTTTTTAAAGAAATGTATTTGAAATATGGTCTTGATATAACACAGTCATTGCAAATCATCTTGTAGGTGAGCTCTAAGTGCTAAGCTTTATTTTTTCTACATTAAGTACTAAACTTAGATTGAACCTAGGATGGTCCACCTTATTTTGAATTGTGTTCTAAGAGGAACTGTGTATAATGTGGAAACAATGTAATAGCAATGGTACAATAAAGCTTTTTAAAAATAGCTTTAACATATTGTTCCATTGTGTAGGAACTTTTCCTTGCATTTGTCAAAACACATCTTGTTCTTTCATGAACTGTAAAATGTATATACCTTCTAAAAGAACATCAGAAGAATTATAGAACCCAAAACACACAGAGATATACTATTTTTAGTATAATTTCATTGCACCCATTTGAACAAAGAGTTCAGGCAATGGAAAGGTGAAATTATTTTAATCACCTTATATATTTCTATGATGGATTTTTCTTTCTTTTCACCTACTTCATAATTCTTCAATTCCCACATTAGACATGATTAGAATTCAGCTTTGGCTCATATTGTACATATGGATAAAGTTACATATTTAGATGTATATTACACCAGAGAAATGTATATAAATGCAGGTGCTAGATCCCACACCAGATATACTAGATCATAATTTGGGGGTAGGGAATGGGGCAGCAAGGCTTTAATATTCCAACAAGCTCCAAAGGAGATTGTGATACCTAACAAAGTTTGTTTTGAAATTCACAAAATTTGGAAGTTAAATGTTAAGACTAAAGTTTCCTTCCTGTTTCTTAAATAGCACAAGTTAAAACATAGACACAAAATGAATGGGTACCAGACTTGAATATTCTGTAGGTTCTTTCTTTGGAAAAAAGGTGGTGTCCTAAACTGGAAAATGAACTTGTTTGGTTTAGTGTGTTTTAAAAATACCTTTAGAAGGTTAACTAAAGACAGTTACAGAAGAGCAGAATTTCTTCCATAAGATATCCCAAAGCTACTTGCAATGGTGACAAGCTATGTTATTTGCAAAAGAAATTTCAAGAGTGCTTTGATCATTTACCTAACTTGGTGAAAGTCTTGTTTCATCCATTGAATTAATTCTATAAACTGACTAAAAAAAATAGTTCTCAAGAGGAGAACTTACCAACTATTCCTTAGTGAAGAAGAGTAAACATAGGTTGACATGCAAAGACACATAATTACATGCTAGGTATATGGAAGCTTGTCTCTGCCCTCACCTCACCATTAAATCTCTTTTTTTTCTGAGGATATGAGAGCTAAAATTGTCTTAGGTAGTAATCAACTCAGGGTATTGACATTGGCCAAAGCTCGAAATAACCAAAATACTAATCTCCACGTATAGAATTTTTTGCATCCCAACAATAGATTAGTATCTGTGTAAAAGGACATTCTAGCACCTAAATCAATTAAAAGTGCAGAATTAAGACTGCTTCTTGGGGTCTGTTGTAAAGACATATTACTAATAGTACAGTTGGATCTGTCCTATAGAAGACATCCCAGGAATGAGTACATCTCTACGTATGCCAGGCACAATAGAGATAGACAGGGGCACAGCATTCAGGAAGATAAACACAAACAGAAACTAGGGAGAATGTCCAAACATTTATCAAAGCTTTAGTAGATGTACAGGTAGGGTTGCTGGATAAAATATACCACACCCAGTTACGTCTGAATTTCAGATAAATGACAGTTTTTAGTATAAGCATATTCCTAACATACAATATAATATAATCTTTGAATGTTGTATATTGGGGATATATTAAATATACTGAGTCTTTGGTTATTTATGTGAAATAGTAATTTAACTGGGCATCACATATTTTTATTTGCTACACCTGGCAATTGCATATACATGGTACCCTGAACAATCCTTCACATCTCAAGGAAAAGATGCTTAATGCTCTTGGTTATTTTATTAACATTTAAGAGAACAGCTGATATTTACATCTTGCTAAATTATAAAAAGGCCTTTTCCATCTTGAGCCTCATTTTGGGCTTATCCCTGATCGCTCAGTTTCCATAATTCTCCCTGCACCTTTTAAATTGGATAGATAGATAAAAGATGGGTAACAAGACAGGGCAATTGAGTATGGTCACACTCAAACTATCTTCTATTTTTCGTGTAACTGAAACTTATCTACGTGCCCATTGTTAAAGCGGTCTTTTTCTAAGAAAAACTGTTTTTATATGAAGACTGTATCGAACACAAAGGTAATTTTAGCACCTGTGCTTTCTTTACTCAGCTGGCCCGGGAACTGAAGTCTCAGTAAGGAGCACTAGAAACACAGCTCCTCCCCAGACCCCCACTACTTTTAATGCACTTCCATATAGCCCAGGACACCTTATTAGAAATACCACCGAGGTCTTCACCAGAAGTACCCCAGAAAACTACAGCCAGAACATCAGCCAGAGGCAGCACCTCAGTCTATGGATGGCTGGAATGACATCTTGGGTTCCCTGGACCACTCCACCCTTCTCCAGCACCACGGAAGAGGTAAGTGAGGAGAAAGGAGTGTATGGAGTATGTCTTGGGAAGGCCTCAGAGAGCCCATTGCTTGAAAAGACTGGCTTTGCTGGAAATAATGCTACTCAAGTGGGTGATGAGGCACTCTGTGTCTTTGTTGTTAATTGTACATGAAGGCATTTTGCATAATGAGAAAATCTTGGAGGTAGAATTTAAATGGCTACACCTTTATAAGCTGAAGATAATTATAACTCCTGTAGACAGGCCTCATTTCTGAACTGAAGTCAGGGTTCATAGTCTTACAAGTATTAAAATCAGGAAATAAAAATTACAGTCAGTAATTTGCAGGTCCCCCTGCATATAGGTCACAATCACTTATGCTTATAAGGGAGGGGAGAGAGTCACAAAGCAACGGAAGATTCAGGAATCATTATAACGGATTTGTGAGGATGCACAAGGATAAGCTGGGTTATATAGCAATTCTACATCAGCATTCACAAGAGGACAGGTAAATGGCTGAGAAGCAGTCAGGACACAGCTATAGAATCTGTTCACATGGCGTTTCCATTTCAGGTGTTCACCTCTTTGGTTTTGCTTTCCACTCAGGGTTTTAGGCCATCATTTTAGACAATAGCTGTAATTAAAGCACATTTTAAAAGCTAAGGTTTCATTTGGCAGTATTTAGCTGTTTCATAATAAGCAACCCGAGGGCTTCCCAGGTAGTGCAACAGTAAAGAATCCACCTGTCAATGCAAGAGATGCAGAGACCGTGGGTTCGATCCCTGGCTCAGGAGGATTCTCTGCAGGAGGAAATGGCAACCCATGCTAGTACTCTTGCCTGGAAAATTCCATAGACAGAGGAGGCTGGCTGCCAATAGTCTGTGGCGTCACAAAGAGTCAGACATGCTGAACACATCCACAGACACAAAAGCAACCCAAGTAATTTAAAGAAAGTAAAAGCTCAACACTGTGCATCTGACTTAACCATTTTAGAGCTGTTTTCCTTTGCATTGTGCAGAAATTAAAATTGCACACGACTCCTCGCTAGTGAACCCATACCTCATTATTGATTGCAAAACAGAGCAAATCTGCCCTCCAACCTATTTCTTGCCTTGTCTCTGAAGAGTTCAGAAGGCCTCATGACTTTTCTGGACACTCTTTAATCAGTTTAAAGCTCAATATTCACTGTCAGCCTATCAGCAAAAATACCATTTCAAGAAATAACCTAAACTCTAAATTCAATTGAAATGTTAGCTTCTCCCTTCCATCACCCCACCAAGCTTGGTCTTGAAATAGGGGAAAGGGAGTATGTTCAAATTCTCTCACATCTCACCAGCTATATACCCACCTCTCCAAGCTTGATCTTCATGGTTTCAGATATATCTGGACTTGGAAAGTAGGAAGGAAAGACAGGAAAAAGGAGCAGGAATGCTGTTACTTAAGAATGCCATCATGAACTGGCCCTGTGGTCTCCCTAAATCTCCAAGCCCTGAGCCCTTTCACCACTGATGTCAGTGAGAGTTTCACCACTTGCTTGTGGAATTGAACACTTTTGGTGGAACACCTTCTCATTCTGGCTGAATGTGCCTTGACTAAAACTGCATTCTAACACCAGTTTATAAGAGGATTCTTATAGCTGAGCTTAAATAATTGTTTACTTTTTTTCTGTACTTATGTGTGTATTTTGTGCATATGTTGCTTTTGTTCAGTCCTTAAGTCATGTCTGACTCTTTTGAGACCCCATGGACTGTGGCACTCCAGGCTTCCCTGTCCTTCTCCATCTCCCAGAGTTCATTCAAACTCCTGTCCACTGAGTCAGTGATGCTATCTAACCATCTCATCATCTGCCACCCACTTCTGCCTTCAATCTTTCCTAGCATCAGGGTTTTTTCCAGTGAGTCAGCTCTTCACATCAGGTAGCTGAAGTATTGGAGCTTCAGCTCCAGCATCAGTCATTCCAATGAAGACTCAGGGTTGATTTCCTTTAGGATTTACTGGTTTAATCTCTTTGCAGTTCAAGGGACTCTCTAGAGTCTTCTTCACCACAATTCGAAAACATCAAGAAAACATCAATTCTTCAGTGGTTACCTTTCTTTATGGTCCAACTCTCACATCCATACATGACTACTGGAAAAACCATAGCTTTGACTATATGAACCTTTGTTAGTAAAGTGATGTCTTTGCTTTTTAATACACTGTCTAGGTTTGTCATAGCTTTCGTTCCAAGGAACAGTGTCTTTTAATTTCATGGCTGCAGTCACTGTCCACAGTGATTTTGGAGCTCAAGAAAATAAAATCTGTCACTGCTTCCANTCCAAAAAAAAAAAAAAAAAAAACTGCATCAAATAAAAAACATGCCAAATAGAAACTACAATCAATAGAAACATATCTGCCTGAACACTATAAGGCTGTATTTTAGCAAAAAAGAATATTGCCTCATGTTTGCCCAAGTTTTACCATTGTAAAACAAACATATAGGAAGCTCCTAGATGTGGCTGGTCTCTACTGGGGTGAGGCGAGGACAGCCAGCTCTAGAGTTCCAGGAGCAATCCAGTCCTGTGTTACAGAGCTCCTGTGATCCAGCCCAGAGCTGGGTTTGCAGCCTTGGGTTGTGATAAATACTCTGTTGGAATTTTTTGTCTTTTGAGTTTTAATTTTTTCTAAGGGGAAATTCATGCTAAGGTTTATATGAGCTCCCAGATGAAGCACCAGTTGTTGAAAGTTTGTGTGTATCTAGTGTTCAATATGTTTCTATTATCAAATATATATATATACATATATATATATAGAGAGAGAGAGAGAGAGAATTTTATCGAGGGACTAATTATACACACATACACGTTTTCTCCTTTGTAATTTCTCCTGTTTCATCTTTTAATCACTCTTCAATTCCTCACCCTCACCCACCAAAAAAAATTAACTGTCCAGTGACTTTGGAAAATGTTCATACATTCAACAAATAATAATATTTCTTGAGAACTTAATTAGTACCAAAACACAGTAGTTAAGAACTCAGGCTTTGAAGTCAAAGGCCTGAATTCCTCTTACTAGCTAGTGACCAACTTCAATTTCCTCATCTATTAAAATGAACCTCTACCTCTTAGGGCTGTTGTGAGGACCGAGAGAGACAAGGCCTATAAAGCACTTTCATATATTCTGGGAGGTGGGTACTTGTGTCTATTTTCCATCACTGTGTAACAAGCAACCCCAATACTTAGTAGTTTAAGACAATGAGAGCTTACTACTTCTCATGGTTTTGTTAGTGGGAGGGTGGGAGTGCGAGCGTACTCTGCTGGCTTCACCCAGGCTCACTCTCGAGGTTGCCTTCAGCATGGGGGCTCAGATGAGCTGGAAGCTTCACAGTAGCCTCTTCCATGGCTAACATTTGAACTGGCTGCATGGTTGGTTCTCTACCTGGCCTCTCAGCCTCCATGAGATGATACCACCTTCTTTACCGGATGGTTTTGGAAAGCTTTGCAAGAGAGGAAAGGTGGAAGCTGCAAGCCTACTGAGGCCTAGGCTCTGTGACCACGCATTACCTCTGCCACATTCAATCAGTCAGTGGAATCCTGAGCCAGGCCAGATTGAGGAGGTGGATAGGTAGAATCCGCTTCTTAATGGGAAAGAGCTGCAAAGTCTCCTTGAAAAGGGGCATATGGATTGGGTGAGATGAATCTGTGGTCATTCCACAATCTACCATAGTATTTACGGGGCTTCCCTGGTGGCTCAGATGGTAAAGAACCTGCCTGTAATGCAGGAGACCCGGATTCAATCCCCAGGGAGGATCCCCTGGAGAAGGCAATGGCAACCCATTTCATATTCTTTCCCGGAGAATTCTATGGACAGAGGAGCCTGGTGGGCTATGGTCCATGGGATTGCAGAGAGTCGGACACGACTGAGCGACTTCACTTTCACTTTTCACTTTCATGCATTGGAGAAGGAAATGGCAACCCACTTCAGTGTTCTTGCCTGGAGAGTCCCAGCAGGGATGGGGGAGCCTGGTGGGCTGCCATCTATGGGGTCGCACAGAGTCAGACACCACTGAAGCAACTTAGCAGCAGCAGCAGCAGCTTAAAGAGGCAAGGACTCACCCGAGGTCACATGGTTAAACAGTAGCAGAGCAAAGAGGAGAGTGACACACACACACACACACTCCTGCCCATCTAGTCACCTTGTTCTCTTGCATAGAGCTCCTATTAATGAAGATAAAGGCCAAGAAAGAAATGATTTGGAACCCAACATCACTCACTGGTGCTCCTGCAACGCTGTCCTAAGTTGACTCTTTTCAGAGCAGAATTTTCCCTACCTTTGTCCTTTCTCTTCTCTTTCCTCATATCCTCTTATGTCAGTTTGGAGGATTGTGAACCTGAGCCAGTACTTGGCTTCAAGGCTCTCTTTCTCTCATCCTGGACATGAATTAAGTAAATCAACCTGTATTACGTGCGTACAGTATTGCCTGGAAAATAGTGTTTAATTAACATTAGCTATTGCTGTTCTTGCCTGGAGAATCCCAGGGACGGGGGAGCCTGGTGGGCTGCCGTCTACGGGGTCGCACAGAGTCGGACACGACTGAAGTGACTTATCAGCAGTGTTGCTGTTATTATTGTTACTATTACAGTATTATGTGATTGTGTGTATGTGTGTTTGTGTGTGTCTTTACAAGGACAAAGTTGGTGGAATAAGAAGCTTGCCTATGGTATGAATCAAGAAATATCTAGCTCAGTGGTATTCAAAGTATGGACCCCAGATCTAGAAGTTGTTAGGCATGTGGCCACGATGGCCCTACCGTAGACCAACTGAATCAGAATCTCTGAGTGTCCGGCCGAGCAACCTTTGTTTTAGCAAACCCTCCAAGTCACATGGATGCACTTTTAAATTCCAGAACAACTGATCTAGATAAATCTCATCCTTCATTCACAATATCTCTCTCACGGACTCACTAAATGCCTTAGTTTCCCACCATTGATGGCACTTTTGTGCATGTGTTATGAGGAGGGAATGTAAAGTATTAGTCGATGAGCTGTGTCCGA